AAACCTCTCTCTCTTGGTTGGTCAAAAAACTGTTACAGCACTCAATCCCACACCGAGGCAGTCAGTGACGTCGGTCGCTCTCCTCCTGAATGCCTGCCTGCCTGTCTGGCCGTGCTGGCTGCGACACGCGCTGTGTGTGTGTGTGTGTGAAGGTTTGTGTGTGAGTGACTCTGTGTGCAAAAATTATCTATCTGTCTCAGGCAGGCTCAGGCATTGCATGCATCTCACGACTGAGAGGAACGGGCGAATACGCACACACGGACAGACTGACAGACAGACAGACAGACAGATCAACGAACACACACACACCCCTCCCGTGGCATGGCAACTCACTCACTCCACAGCTCGTTGGTTCAATCGTCCGTCGGTCGTCCCACCCCACCCCCCAGGCATGTATGTATGTGTTGATGCATCCGTCCATCCATCTACCACCGATGTCTTAATCAATCAATGAGCCGATCACATAGGCAGGCAGGCAGGCAGGCAGGAAGTCAGGAAGTCAGGCAGGGACGGGCGAGCAGAGCAGAAAAGGGGTCGGTCGGTTGGCAGGGGGTAGGTAGCTGGCATTACTCCCGCAAACCACGCCCGCCGCTCACGGACGGGCCACCGACCATCTATCTCATCGAGCCACCCACCCAGTCAGTTGACTCAGCCAGATAGTCTTCCGGTCCGAGGAGTGAGTGAAAAGTCAGTCAGGCAGTCAGTAGGGGAGCAGGTCAGTCAGTCAGTCAGTCAGTGAGAGTCAAGCCAGGTTTATGGTACACTCTCGTGCTGCTGGCAGTTAGTTAACCAATAGGCCCGCCGGCCCGCCCGCTGCTTTGCTACCTCTCCTCTCTCTCTCTGCCCCCCCCCCCACCATGATAGACACACTGACTGACACTGACACATCCATCAAAGCCATCAGCCCATCCATCCATCCATCCATTCACCCGGCCATTCACCCGGCCGGCCGATTCTCGCTAGACTGCCTTTCTGCCTGCCTGCCTGTCTGCCATTCTGCCTTTCAGAACTGCTGATTCCATCCAGGTTGTCTGTAGCTAGCTAGCTAGCTAGCTAGCTAGCTATAGCTGCCGGTCAGTCAGTCAGGTCAAGTCAGTCAGATACCATAACTGCGTCCGCGTGTGAGTAGGAGGTAGATATGAAGGTAAGCAGCAAGCAAGCCGGCAATCCTTCGTCGAGTCCGTCGTCCGCCGGTCACACATATAGCCACGCATTACGTAAGAGATGGACACGTAGAGGACCACATCACATCGCGCCACACACACCACTCCGACATGCACACACACGCACGCGCACACGCACACTCTCAGTCAGTCCGTCAGTCACGTTAAAAAGGCAACACCGATTCTGCGTGTGGTCCCACACTGTGAAGGGGTGTTGTGTGTTCTCCTCACCAACCAACCAACGTCACACAAGCAAGACACACAGAGACACACAAAGACACATCACTCAAACCACACCGCCCCACAGCACACCACACCACAGCACAGCAGCCGCTCCCTCGTCTGTACACAGATAGAGAGAAATAGGGAGAGGTAGATAGAGAGGGGATGGATGTATCTTATCTGGCCTTTCACCCAGACAGACAGACAGGCAGGCGAGTGACGAACCAGAGCGCAAGAAACGGAACGCCAGCGACAGCAGCAGCCAAAGTGACGACTAACGAAAACCCCTCCATCCCTCCCTCCCTCCCTCCCTTCAGACGACAGGCGATTAGATACCACACCAGACCACACCACACACACCATCACCATGCAGAGCCCTCGGTCGTTGCGTGATGTCGGTGTCCGCCGCCTGATTCAGCGCCTACATGAGCACGTGGGTGTGCCCTGTCGGTGCTGCAGCAGCCGGGGGCAACGCACATCAACCAACAACACAGTGGGACGCATCGCATCACATCACATCACCAGCACGGCATCCATCCATCCATCCCATCGATTGTATCAAAGCAATGCTCTCCCCGTCCCCACACCATTCAGTCGTCCCACCCAGTCGACTGGTAGCAGAGCCAAAACGCAACGCAACGCAACACAACACAACACGGCAGGCAGCGGATCGGTCGCATCGCATCGCATCGCATCGCAGCACCGCCCCAACTCAACTGACTGGAGAAAAGTAACAAAGCAACAAAGCAACCAACCAACCTAAACCAACCCCTCTCCCCCTTGCCCAACGACTGACTCACAGATGTACGTGTGTATGTGTGCATCCATTCCATGTCCCCTCCCCCTGCCCCCTCCCCCGTTGGTGTTGGTTGGCTTGGCGGATGGATGGATCACTTGTCCTCCATGGGCATGGGGTCGCCATGGGTGCCCTCCGACCCAGGAGCGTTGCTCTCCTTGGCCTTGTTGCCGCCCACATCCGGCTCCTCGCCCTGCTCACCACCAGCACCACCACCCGCACCGGCAGCAGCAGGCATCCCCCCCTGCTGCTCCTGCTCACCCGCCGCCTCGGACTCCACCTTCTCCATCTCGACCCCCGGCTCCTGCTTCTCAGCCGGCCCCTCCTCGGTGCGGGCTCTCTTCTGCTCGGGCTCTCCCGTCCCAGCAGCACCAGCACCAGCAGCCGCCGAGGCGGACGCCGGCTGCGACGCCGAGCGCTTGGCGTCGGCGGGTGTCTCGCGCTTGACGGACTTGAACGTGCGGATGAGTGTGAGGACCTCGTCGCACTCGCCGGCGGTCTGGAGGCCGGCTGAGCATGCGAATTTGATGCCGTCCTCGTCCTTGGTCTCAGGGACGAACTCCGAGACCTTGTTGCGGGTGCCGGGGATGTACCCGAAGTAGCGGAACGCCTCGGGGTTCCACTCGATGGTCAGAGTCAGCTTGTCGTGCACCGGCGACACCGCACGAGCAGCACGCAGCAGACGGGCGGCGAACGTGTGACGAGGGTCTGATGCAACCAACCAACCAACCAACCACACACGCACACACACAAGACACAACACACACACACATCAGCAATATGTGAGGCGAGCACATGCACCTCTGACGTACCGTTGGCAGGGGCAACTCTGCGTGCCTCCTCGGTGGCCTCGCCGGGCGGCAGCACCCCCACCGAGGGCAGCAGGGGTGTGTGGCCGGGCGTGGGGGGCTGGAACGTGTCGAGGACGGCGGCGTCCAGTCTGCTGGGGATGTTGAGGCTCTCGGCCAGCTGGTTGCGCTGCTCGACGGCGATGAGGAGGGCATCGCGCATCTTGTCCCACGTGTAGCCCTCGGGCACGACCCCCTTGCCGTAGTAGGTGCGCTTCTGGACGGTGAACTGGACCGTGAAGCGGCTAAGCGTCTTGGACCAGTAGATGCCCAGAGCCGGCAGCACCGGGCCGCGCCCACCGTTGCGGCGCTCGCCCAGGAGGCAGGTCTTGAGGTGTGTGAGCAGCAGCGTGGCCTTCTTCATGGCGCTGGCTGCGCTGCCGGGCTTGATGCGCGAGGTGGAGGTGCCGGATGCGTGGCTCATGCCGCCGTCCTCGGTGTTCATGCGGGAGGGCGGCTTGGGGACGGCCAGGTTGCGGCGCCCCGAGCCCCTGGCGCGCGTGGCCTCGTAGTCGCTGTCGTCGTCCATGCCGTCGTCCATCTCCTGCTCCTCCTCCTTGGCATCCTCGAGCGAGCGCATGATGACGTCCTCGAGCGTCTGGCCGTCCTTGCGCTGCGCCCCACGGGTCAGGCGCTTGGCGCGCTCCTCACCGTCCATGGCGCGGCCGCCCACACGCACAGAGGGACCGCCGTCGTGGATCTCGCGTGGCATGTCGATCTCGAGGAGCCCGAAGCGGCGGGCCATCATGTTGCGGGAGCGGACGGCGTCGGTGAGGGACTTCTTGAGGCCGCGGAGGGTCCAGCGAGCGGGCTTGAAGCGGCCACCGGAGGCGTTCCACTGACCGCGGATGCGGGCACGGTACGAGTAGCCCTTGCTGTCCCAGTATACACCTGCACAACAGAGAGGAGAGGCGGACACACACACCACACCACACCACACAGACAGACAGGCAGGGAGGGAGAGGGAAATGGACACATGCTGGTGTGGCAGGCAATGTGGGTAGGGGCGGGAGGGTTTGGTTGCGTACCGATGAAGGTTTCGTTGCCAACGGACTCGCGCAGGATGTCGCACAAATAACGGGCAATCGTCGAGCCCTTGGTCGGGCCCAAGTTGAGGTCCTCGTCTATCTCTGTGACACACAGACAGCCACGCACACCACAGCCACAGATGCACCACCGACACCCGGCCCCTCCCCCGCCCCCCCGCCCCTGTCTGTTCTCGAGATATCTTCGTGCGTACCTGAGAGGTCGATGTTCTCTGACGACGGCTGGCGCTTGCCGGGGGTGACGGACCCGCCGCGCAGCTCCTTGGGTGAGGTGGCCGTGCGCCGTCTGACGCGCCGGCGGGCGCGGGAGGAGGTGGAGCCCTCCACGTTGGATGACGAGATCTCGTCGTCATCCGCATGGATGGCATCGAACATGGTGGGAGCGCCGTGGGGCGAGATCTGGTCATCCCCTGAAGCACAAAGACACGCATGCCACACAGAGATGTGTCTCACAGGCGGAGTGCCGTCCGTGTCGCAGGAAGGTCCGTCCGACAACCAGCCTGGTGTGTCCCCCCCGTCCCCCCTCCCTGTCCCTCCTCCCTCCCTACCTTCCGACAGGCGGTCGTGCGCCCAGAAGGAGGGGTCGAGTTTGTCGAGGTGCTGGAGGGCCTTCAGTCTGTCGTCAAACGAGGCGTTCAGGAACTCGTCCAGGGACAGGCCCAGCTTCTTCAGGCCCGCCACCACACGCGGATGCATATCGTCCAGTCGAGGCGTCTGGCGTGGGCCGTCCTCCTCGGGCATCTTGGTCCCTCCACCGTTCTCCTGCTTGGGCTCCTCCGTAGCCATCTTCCTTCTCACCCCTTCGGCCTTTCTGACCTTCTAGACTCGGACAACAGACGTGTGCGCACAGAGAACACGAGCGGGAAAACCTGCAAGCTTGAAGCGGATCGCCGTTCTAGCTCGCACGCCAAAAGGGGAAGGAGGAGGAGAAGATGGGGCCCATCAGCGCTGCTTGGATGTGGATCTTGCTCTCCCTGCCCGTCATCGTCCACGCTCGCAGGCCTGAGTCATGGCGCCTATTCTTTGCTATGCAGCCACTCAGCACACCGGAAATGCCACTCAGGCAAGGGATTCATCGGCTCAGGCTGGCTGTCGACTCTCACTCGTTAGCTGTGGAAGACGCCGCAGAGAACGGCGGCAGCCCTGAAGACAAGTTCCCGCCCGGCCCGTGGACCACACCGATGCACTCTTACGCCACGACGTATGCCGAGGAGGGGCGCAACCTCACCGACAGGGTGGCGCCGCGTGACGACACAAGCTTTCCCCGTCTCGAGTACTCGGAGATCTATCACAGCGGCATCAAGGAAGCCTTTCGGTGGCAACAGAACCGGGAGGCTGTCTATATCTACGTTCCCCTTCCGCAAGGCACCACAAAGAGAGACCTGGATGTCGACTTGGAGGTGCATCCATACAGCCTGAGGCTCTGCTTGAATGGCGACACCATCATTGACGACTCGCTGAGCGAGCGGGTGAGGTGTGACGGGGTGTTCTGGACGCTGGACGAGGAGCAGCCGCTGGGCACGTTCCTCACCGTGTCCATGGAGAAGAAACTGCCCTACCAGAACTGGCAGGTAGGTCGCAACGATGTCAGTCGTTCGTTGCACTCAGTGCGTGTTGGATTGGTTACTGCAGAAACTGCTTGAAAGCGACCCGACGCCTGAGCTGGAAGAAGGGGAGAGGGAAAGGGAGAGTGGGTCAGAGCAGAGCGGTGTGGGTGATCCCGTTGCAAGTGCTGTAGCGAGACTGAGTGGTGTGGAAGGGGCCGTATCAGCTGACGCACATGAGGTGCCACCCTGATGGTTGTGGCGCTATGTGGTAGAGACAGTGTGTGGATGAGCATATATGATGTTAGACGTTTGTTTTATTTGCCGTCAGTCAGTGCATGGATGTGAGGACTCCGCAAGCAGAAGAAGGTCTGGTCTTGGCACGGATTGCACTCATTGCACCGTCGAGTCGCACCACATGCATCACCACCAACACAGAATTCTCGTATGCGCGCGTGTGTGGTTAATGAAAGACTCAAGGATCAAAGACCATAGGATTCCAGGATCTTCTCCTTTATGTATCCCCCGGTGTACAGGCGGCAAAAACTCACGTAAGAATTGTTGATTCCCGCCAGGAACTTGCTCATAGTCTGCAGCGCCTTCCAGCCACCGACTTTCGCAGTCATCCGCTTGAGGATTCCTTCTTCACATTCTTTCCAAGCTGGATACATACGCATTACCATCGACGCAGACGCGACAACCAGAGAGACAGTACTCCATCGATTCATTCGACATGACCGTGTTTTGTTTTTCGGCATTGATTACTTTTCGCGTATCGCCAGGCCTCAACCGGGTCATCGGTGTTGATGATCCCCAGGTCGAATGCCAGGAGGAAGAACAGCTGCTCTGACGAGCCGCCAAGAGTGAGGTCGGACCACCAAAACCGGATCGGCTTGCTTTTGGCGGGATGAGACAGAAAACAGACAAAGTCAAATGCGAAGAGGTGGTCCCATAGCTGTTCTTACCCATAGCTCCGGTACTTACTCCGTGTCACCTAAGAATCAGAGACATGCAAAGAGAGAGGGAGACACGTGTGCCGCGTATCAAGCGAGTGCAGTGTGTCACTCCCACCTGTAGATCCGTTGCCATTTTTCGGAAGAATGCGTCTCGATTGGACAGGCTGCCGGAGGTGAAAATTGCAGCGACCCTGCAAATGGAAGTCTTGCACGCCTTCGCCGTGCCGCTCGCCAAAGAGGCGATGCCGATGCCCGACACATGATCTGCAGACACACCCAAAGGGGGAGGAGCAAGGCGTTCAGAGACACGTGTATGTCCGTGTCTTCATACATGAGAAGTCTTGAGAAACAATAGGCACGATTTCGCCTTGCCACGCCTTCATCATGACAGTGGCAAAGCGCCTTGGCAGTGCGCTCGTTTCTCCGTGCTGCTTCTGCCTTTCCTTTTTTTACTTACCTCGCGCTGCGGGCCGTACTTCTGACAGCCATGTACCGTATGTACGTCTCCGCATGTGTCTTGTCAAAGTGATGCCTCCTTTCTTAGGTACCTGTGTGAGCATCCTGTTGGTAGCCATGAAGTATTGCATGTGATCAGGCATGAAGTTGTTCTCGGGGTCACCCGGGTCATCGTCGCCAACAATGGTGCCCATCCTGCAGAGGAGAATCACACGAGGTACACGGCACACGAGAAGCGTCTCATGATCATTCTTGCCTGCCATCGTATTGTCCAGCAAATGGTATCTCGTTGTCCAAGTGGCTAAACAGAGTCGGCAAGATCCTGGCGAGCGATGAATTCAGACACGTGAGACCGAAGTGTGGTGGGGTAAAATTGCGATTGGTTTCCTTACTTGTTGCCTGCTGTCATGACCAGTGCGACCGGGTGCCGCACGTAACAAAACACCTTGGCACCAGTAGCTGCACACACACAGATGAGCTCCTCGAGGTGCATACAAACAGCCAGCTAACACCTGCCTGGGTCAGTGCAGTTGTGGCCGAAGTGAGAGAAGAGCGTCGGGTGCTGCTTGTGGAGAGACACAAGAACAGGAAAGAAGGAAAGAAAGAAAGACAGACAGACAGACCATGTACGTATACATTGATAACGGCGCTTGCCGAGTGACTAAGCTTGCGCCAAAGCTGCTGAATGTGCTCAAAAATCGGCTCCTGTTCGCTCTTACAGTCGAGAAGAATGTACAGCTGCTGTCCCTCGGAAGGTGTCACGTGTTCATCCCAGATGTGCCCCGTTTCTGCACATGAGATACTTAAGGTTGATGTCGGGTGCAATGGTCTCAGTCGTGTCTCGTTGATTGTTCGGCTCACTCGTCCACCTCTCCTTCAGTTTATCTACATATTGGCTCTCAAATGTGTGGCCAGCTCTCCAGAGCTCTTCCAGCCGGTCTGCACGACACTTCACACCAGCTGCCAGGTCTCTCACGGAAGGATGGTGCAGGACGAGCGACTTGAGGTTGCTGTCAGCCACTGAGTGCAGGCAGACATCGACTTCCACCCACTGGATGCCCAGGGACAGAATAAGCTCGAGCGGGTGTTTGTGTCTATCGTCCCCGTGTGACAGGATGTTGGTGTACATCTGAGTGTAAGTATGACACAACCATGAAGGGACAGAGAGTCACTTAGGAGGCAGGGAGCACTGTGACAAAGTCTTACCGAGTCGTTGTAGCCTTCCTGGAAGCTGATCTCTTCTATGGGTCCCTCTCTGGACGAAACGGCGGCCTCCTGGAAGCTCGTCCTTTCTATCGGTCCCTCTCTGGACAAAACGGCGGCCTCCAGAGGAAGGCGCAAATGCGTACGCGGGGCACCAGCCTGGGTCTGCACGCTGCGGGCCGCAATGGAGAGGGCCAGTTGAACAACGAGAAGCTCCCATCTTGGCGACATTATTGATTGCGCAATGGACCGCTTTGCAAGGTGAGACGCGCGAGCCCCGGCCCAATGTCTGTCTGTACGGACGCTACCAGCGCATCATTGCCTCCTCGAGAGCTATCCCCCCATCCGCATGCATGCATGCAGGCTCACTGAATGCGAGCTCGAAGCCCCCACGGAGCCTACAGCAGAGAAGAGAGAGAAAAAAGAGGAGAGCTTTCTACACCTCCAACAGACCCGTGACACCATGTCAGGTCGTGCTGCGGGTTCGCAGCGGAGCTCCCTTCGGACCTCGCAAGGTCCCAGCGTGCCAGGGTCTTCACCCGCTGGCAAGGCCGCCAGCAAAGGGCTCCTGCGTTCTTCGACACGCCACTCTGTCGAGTCACAGCCAGGGCGGCCCCTCATCCCCTCGGAGCCTCCTCACCGCCCCAAGAGGGACTCTGCGCTGTCAACTGAAGGTGGTCCACGCAGCACGTCCGCGGCGGCGAGCGGAGCAGGGAGCGCGTCGCCTCCCGCCCGAGGCACAGGCGGTCGCAAACCGCAACTGAGATCACTCAAGACGAGCGCAGGGGCGGCGGTGGGGGAGTCAGAGCGGTCCGACAAGGGCGAACCTCCGCCGCCAAAGGTGAGTCCGAGAGGAATGGGCAGGTATCCCGTCCATCCGGATACGCTGCTGCATGATATCCCTCCTTGTATGTGTTCAGAAGCAGCCGTCTCGCAAGAACACATCTGGGATGGGTTTGAGTGGCCTGTCGCAGTCGCCAAGAGCGTCACAGTCGTCCAGCCAGCCGTCGCCCGCAGGGATCCTCAAGAAGGCACCTTCGCCTGCTGGCCGAGCTGAGGCGGACAAGAGGCTCAGCCAACAGAGCATTGCCAGTCTCGCCTCTGCTGCCTCAGGGCCCGGGTGCAAGGGAAGAGGGAGGAGGGAGGGAGACACCAACATTCCGACGTACATACATCTCGGCTTCCTTATTGCGTGCAGGGGCATTCCTATAGAGCTTCTCGCTCGCGACCGCGATGACGCTCTCAACAGGTCTGAGGGGTCCGTCGGATCGTCGGTTAGCGGCTTCCTCTCCAATCCGCAGTGCAGCTCTGAGGACCTGGAACAAGAGAGAAAGTCGGCACAGCCTGACAGAGACACAAACACACATGAGGCGTGCAATTAAGACCGTTCATTCTTACAGGGGCGATATGAGTGGAGGAGAGGAGGAGCCTAAGCGTGACAGCAAGGCACAGAGTTTGAGTGGCTCGGGGGCCCGCCGGAGGTCGGTCATGTTTGGTGGAGGCAAGCAGGGCGGCAAGGAGGAGAAAGAGGTCTTTGAAGTCCCCACTGACCGCGCCAGTCGAGAAGCGAGGAAGAGCATCATGTTCGCCAAGTCGCCAAAGTACGGACGGGCGCGCAGCAGAAAATGCGAGGATGATTCTTGTCTGTACGTGTACGTGTGCGTCTGTGTCTTGCCAGGTCCAGTCCGAAGGCGAGCACGTCTCCGAAGGCGGTGTCTCTGAGCAAGGCGGGCAGCACGAGTCAGAAGAGCGTTGACGGCAAGGGCATCAAGGCCCTGCCCTACGTCAGGCTGTGGCGCCAGAAGATCCAGATGGTCAAAATGTCAGAAAAATTCGCAAAGGCACAGGAAGAAATCGAGCGGTAAGCCAGCAGCAGCACAGCAGCGAACAATGCACGTGCCCTCTTTTCTGTGTATGCCTGCACTTATAAACACGTACGTACGTCTAGGTTGGAGGACCAGGAGAGTCCCCCAAGCAAGAAGGGCGGTCTTTCGCGTGCAGGCACATACTCAAGACTATCATCACGGGCCAGCGAATTCTCAGAACGTATGACACACACCACCCACTCATTTCGTCACATACGTCCTTGTCGCGCTCTGTATGTGCAGTGACCCCTCTGCCGGCCTTTGGTGGCCTCGCCCCTCCGCAGGCCAGGGGTGCTGCGCGGCGTGCCTCGATCGCCGTGCCGCCCGGCATGCCACTCAACCGCCGGCAGTCGATCGCCATCGTCAAGCAGCAGCAGCAATTTGAAGAACTCACCACGCAACTTGATGAGGCACAGGTGAGTGGGCAGAGAGGGACAGGACAGGACAGGTGAGCGGTGCTGATGCTGCGCGACCTGTGGCAGGAAAAACTGGAGGAGTTGAATCGCCTGAAGAATGCATTGGACGCCGAAAGGAAGGAGAGAGAAAGGTGCGCACCAGACAACGCACCCACGCCCCTTTATGGCTTTTCACAATGCGGGCGGGATGTCTGTCTGCAGAATGGAGCAGTCTCTGCAGGAGGCGACCCGTGAGGCCACACAGTCGTCCAAAGCAATCTCAAACGCACAGGTGACCAGATGGGCACTGGTGCCGTCGCAAAGCTACGCAAACACTTGTGTCGCCCGTTGTATTTCAGGAGGAGAATCGGCGGCTCCGTCGGACGGTGCAGAACCTGGAGACAGAGCTGGTGGACCTGCAGGCCAGACTCACACACATACAAGAGAAACGGAGACGTAACACACACACACACGGGGAAAGGGGATGCGTATTCGACGATCTGTGTTTGTTCCTTTCTCTCGGTCCCGCAGAGAGTTTGGTGCATCAGGGCAGCCATGACAGCAGCCAGAGCACGGACAGGGATGCAGCGAGGGAGGCGGAGAACGAGTGGAAAACCACACAGGATCTGATTCTCCAGGCTAAGTGAGCTTACCTCGCCTCTCCATCCAATGAGTAAATGCCCATGCCTGCCTGCCTGCCTGCCTCCATTGCAGAGAGCGTGAATACACGGCCAGGGTCGAGCAGCTCAAGAACGAGTGAGTGCCGATCGGCATATTGTACACCCATACACTTACAGTTTACGGCGCGGTGTCACTTCGTTTATGTCACTCTTGCTTCAGCCTTGAGAGCGAGCAGAGCCGTCTGGTGCTTGAGGTGGAGCAGTGGAAGGCCCAGGTGGATTCACTCAACTCTACCGTCACGGCACTGAACAGCCAACTCTCAGAGAAAGAGGTCTGGGACGCACAACACATCACGCCAACAGCGCAACAGCACATTGAAAGGACAACGTTTATGTGGTGTCCCAGGACATGGTGGCCAAGCTCCAGCGTCATCTGACCGGTCACGATAGCGAGCGACGGATGTCCAACATACGTGCCGGCTCACTGGCGTCCGAACTGGCCATCGCGCAACTTGAGGAGGAAAAGGTCACCTCACGCCTGCACTGCACAAAACAAGGACACATGATGTGCCTGTCTGTTTGCAGGAGGAGCGGCGTCGCCGGAGCATCGACCACGAGATCGGCCCGATGACGCCCAAGAGCGACTTCTCTCCCAAGGGAGTGGGCGGCTCCTTCATCGATTATGAGTCGGAAGAAGAAGTGGCACCGCCACCACCACCCGCCAAGACCGCACCCAAAGCTAGGGGCAAGTCGACGCCTGCGGCAACGCCAAAGACGCCCAAGAGCATTCTGATGACCTCGTCACGGGTGAGTGACGTGGGCATGTAGGAAGGCACATATCGTCCATGTACTTTGGTGTCTCTGTCTGGCTCAGAGCGCATCGGCCAAGGCGGCCAAGCCTGGGCTGAGCATCCAGCTGCCGGGTGACCGTCGTCGGTCGTCGACCATGTCTCAGGGCAGCGTGACGTCCAAGAATTTCTCTGTGCCCGGGACGACACCAAAGGTCCCACCCGTCACGCCGAAGACACCCGGCAAAGCGCTGGGCACAGGGGTCAGCAGAGATGGCTATGGCTCTCTGCGACTTGTCTGTCGCACATACGTGTGTGTTAATGTGTGTTGCAGGATGAGGCTTTGAAGGATCAGCTGAAGGAGATGGAGGAGTACGCCAGAATGACAGAGGAACAACGGTCAGTGACAGTTGTTCAAAAGGGGCGGAGCACTCAGTCTCCTTCATCCATGTCGTCCTGCTGTGCATGTATCAGTCGGAAGCTGGAGAAGGAGTATCAGTCGCTCCAGTTCGCCTCCGTCGCTTTGAACGCGCAAGTGCAAAAGGTCAGTCTTTTTACTGCACTTGCTCACTCACGTGTGTCGCTATCGGCCTGGCTCGCTGGCTCACCAGATGAACGACCAGCTGGATGCAGCTGACGAGAGGAGGGAGAAGGAGCTCAACGAAATGCGGGAGACGTACGATGCACAACTACACACACAAAGGGGACGGCCGTCAGGCCTGGCCGGTCAGACGGGTCAGCCTTCCTGCCTGTCCTTCTCTTGGCATGAATCACACAGACTGGAGCGTGCCGTCCAAGAGGCCCAGGCGGCGTGCGACGCGGAGACGATCGAGAAGAAAAAAGCACGCAAGCTCGTGGAGAAGATGAAAGCCGAAACCGCCACGCTTTTTGTCAGAAACAAACAAGCAAACAATCCTCTTTCCATCCACACCCACGCCTCCCTACGTTTCGTGTCATCAGAACAACTTCAAGGAGCTGCAGGGGCGCCTGCGTGCGTTGGAGCGGCTGGAGGAGACGCAGGGCCACCTGGTGCGGCGGCTTGAGGCGGAGCAGCTGCTTCGCCGTGCGAGGGAGGCGGAGTTGATGAAGCACCAGAAGGCACTGCAGGAGGCGCAGAAGGCCGGAGGGACTGGCGCTGGCGTGGGCGAGCCTCCCGAGGCAGAGACCGGGAAAGAAGCCGAGCCAGAAAGGTACACACATCCATTTGAGAAGACATGCAATCAAACAGCAGGCATTACCTCTCGGCCCTCCTCTAGGCTTGAGGCGGGTTCTGGTGAGGCCGAGAGCGCGGCAGTGGCCGAGTTGGTTCGCATCGTGACCGGGGAGGAGCCGCAGCAGCGGCCTGAAGAAGAGGACGAGGAGGAGGTGGCGGCTGCGGCCGCTGAGGGGGAGGACGACTTCACCAGACAGACCATGGTCAGCGTCAGGCGACTCGCTACCATGAAGGAGGAAGTGCGCAAGCTCAACGAGGTGAGGTAGTGATTGACGGCATCAACTGCATGCGGCACTCACATGTGTGCATGTGTCTCCTCGTTTTGACTGGCATCAGAGCTTCCACGGTGGTTCTGCGCTGTCTCGCGCGGTGTCGCATCTGATGATGGCGGGCCGGGGCGAGGAGCAGCACATCACCATCATCGAGGACCTGAAGCGGCAGCTCAAGAGCCTCAAGGACGAAAACAGGCACCTCCTGGAAGAAGCGGTAAGCCCCCCGGACTCGCACTACACACGCGACGATGCAATTTCTTTTTCTCTTTTTCTGTCAGTCGTCCTTGCGGGAGCGTCTTGACGGCATCAGCACGACACCCTCAATTCGTAAGAGACACTTATCTGCATCATCGATGCAACTTCCTCATATGGCGCTTGTCATTCAGAGGCACTCGAGGAGAAGATCCGCAGTCTACAGGCGATGAACAGCCGCAAGGAGGAACAGCTGAGGAGCCTCAGGTCGGAGTTCCGCGACCTCGTCAGGCAGATCGAGACGCTGCATGGCTCGTTCGCCGCCAGAGTGAGTCACCTTAGGGAGCAGATCCCGAAAGAAGGGATGCAGCCACGGTCAGCATAATAAGTGCAAGGACCTGAATGATGCGTGCCACGCTTCATGTGTGGATGTGTGGATGTGTATGCAGGCCTCCGGCTCGTCTGGTGTCCCGTCCTCCTATTCATCCTCAGACAGCCCGACGCCCACCTGTCCCACCGATCGACCTACACCTGGTCGCTGTGGCGAGGTGCGCAAGACACACACGCCCTTGCGTCCATCGATCAATTTGCTCGCCGTTGCCACGTACCCGATGTGTGTGTCGTCTCTCTCATGTGTTAGAGAGGTCCGTCTGCCACAGCTGCCTCCCTCCCGAGAGGAGGAGCCTGTCCCTGCCCCTGTCCCTGCCCCGCTGTCAGCTCCGCCCGACGTTGCCGCGTTTGTGTCGGTGAGCGCCCCCATGTCCCCACGGGCAGCACCTGGAGCACGGGCTCACCGTGCTGTGTCGGCGCCACCAAGATCGTTCGGCATCGGAAGGTTGCCGCCGGGAACCATCATGAAACAGGTGAGCGGGTGAATACGCGTAAAACAGGCACCGCACCTGACACTTGTCGTGGATGGACGCGTGCCTGGTTGCAGACGGAGTTGTGGATTCACCGATGGCTGGACACGATGCACTATCGCTCCGAACAGCTTCGCAAGTTTGTGGATGACCACTCACCGCCCCCCAGCCACCGATCACACCACCCACCCGTCCCGCCGATGGACCTCTCGCAACCCATTCCCGCACATACACAAACACTCCCCGCCATCCCTTCCCTCAGCCCCCCTCGGGTGCTGCCGGTCCGGCCGCCTATCCACCACATGCTGTCGCCCTGCCCCGAGTCACATTATGCCAGCACTCTGCAGTCCGCCACGCCATCCTTCGCCACACCGCAGAGGCACGAGCCCATTCCGCTTATGCCCGAAGTGTCTGATGGGCTGCTGCATGGTCTTCAGGGCGTCAAGGAGGAGAGGAAGCGGGGACGGAATGGCGAGTTCCTCCTGTCGGCGTGCTGCGATGGTAGCAACAACAACATGTCCGTTTCTCAGCTCAACGGCGCGAGTGCCAGCTGTGCGCCTTGCCTGCTCTGCCAGAAGGACACCAGCAGCAGAAAGGGGCCACCCGTGCCGCCTCTCCGCCTCCCACCGCTCCCGCCTCTCAATCGCACGGCGGCATCCATGCTCTCGCCACGATCAGCTAACCGAGACACGACACTGACTGACACCAATGGCAACGGCCTCGTACGTCATCTGGTGTCGCCCCGTGTCAGCGGATTCGCTGCTGGAGGCGAGAACAACTACTCATCCGGACAAGATACGACAGCCCGCCCGGTTCCTGCGCAGCAGCCGGTCGCAGCGTGGCGTCCCAGTCCAGCACCACCACCGATTCATATGGCACAGCTGTTCCAGGCGCCAAACGTCAGTTTGACACTCCACAGACCGCCCCCTTTCATGAGCCCCGCAGGGACAAACGCATGAACGGCACCGGCCAACTCACGGGAGTGAGGCCATGGGAGCGAGGCTATGGGAGTGAAGGAGTGTTCAATACCGCCATCCACACATTCGTGGTGACTGACTTGTGGTTTTCCTGAAATGAAGTGGTGCACGGGTGGTCGGCACGATATGTTTATTTTTCCTGCTGCATGTGTCGGTCTGTTTTCATGAGTGGTCGGTCCAACGATGTATCAAGCGGGGAGCTGCGTCTCACGTGGGGATACCAGACATCAATGACATCGTTTGCCAAATCAGGGTGTTTTCTTCCTCAATCAATCACTTGCTGCCACCCACCCAATGTCTCGCTTTTTGGTTGGCCAGGATCCCCCCCAAATTTACGTATGTGTACGGGAAACCGCTGAACCAAAAACATGCGGTCTTTCGTTGCGGTCTCGCGGTGGCGGTGCACGGAGTTCGGCTGTTTTGGTCTCGCCTGAGCTTCGCCAGCTCATCGAGCCCAAAACAAAGCAGGTGAAAGCCAAAATGGCTGTTCTGACGCGGCCCCTTATCCTCATCCCTCTCGCCGTCTTTGGCGTCGGCCTCTTCGAATTCGCTCTCGACGCCCTTGAGCTCTACCCAGCATTCCTTCACAAGAAAGCGGTCTCAGCGTCCCTGCACAAATTGTTTCGGAGCGTAATGAGCGGAGGCACGACGGACGCTGCGCCAGCAGCAGAAGCGGAGGAACGAGAGGACTTCGCTGACCTTGAAGCGCTGGAGAGCAAGATGGAGGTTCCCTTTTTCGTCTACGAGACGCCCGCGCTGATGGAGATGTACAACAGGTGTCAGGGGCCGGCAAGGGCAATCCTCGAAGGCTCATGGCCTCGATATGCCAACCATGGGATCAAGAAGAAGATAGGTACGGAAGGTTGCCGACCAGTCGTATCAACCTGTCGTATGTGGTGGTGCAGGGGAGATCTTCTGGCTGGACCAGTTGTGGAATGACACGTGGCGCACACTTGACCCCGAGAAGGCCCTCGTGTATGTCCTCCCAATCTATCCAGGTGCGTCCGTGTCGAGCAGAGAGGCAATGGAGAGGCCGCTCGAATGGCTTGGTGTGTTGCAGCGCTCTTGTTCCAGCAGCTTTGCGTGGGCATTGGACGACAGAAAACTCACGAACTGGCCACTCGAGCCGTCCACGAAGTGAGCTTGGAGGCGTGGATACATCACGACCTGCAGGGTCCTATTCAAGTGTGTTCACACACATTTCAGGTCACGGCAATGCCCTACTTTTACCGCCACGGCGGCCTCGATCATGTCGTTATCGTAAGCAAGGAGAGAGAGGCACGCAGAAGCACGTCCGCACACCGTCTGGCTGTCACTCAATGTTTAGGGGACGGACTGGCGGCTTCGTCCAGACATGGAACGGCTTTTCGGGCCGACATTTTATGCCTTCGTGGGGAACATCACGTGGGGACGATCCAAGACATTGGACAGTCAGTAGCCAATGGTTGGCTTCGGTGTGTGGACACATCTCCTTTGTGGCCTTGTCTGTTTGTCTGCAGAGGGCCTGCCGTGGCGATGCGGTGTTAACGTGCCACACACGTGGGAAAACAGATAGACCGGCCCAGCTGGCTGCCACGGGTGATTGGATCGATGGGCCCGCGTATGTGTCGGTGTGTGTAGTTCTGCCATGACCCACGTGCAGAAGGCATACGAGCCCTTTGAGAAGGAGAGTTTGCTGCAGCGCGGCTTCATTGCCCCCAAAGATGTGCTTGAAGACGACCGGCTGGACACCGCTTTCGACCCCCCGTCGCGACGTGATTGGTTCGCGAGAGACTACAGCATGTTCTTCCAGGGTAAGCGAGTGGAATGGGGCAGAGCGGACGGTTCTGTCTTCTCATTCATGCGGTCTCGTGTTGTGTCCATCCATCTACCGATTGGTGAATGTAGGGCAGGTGGACACTCGCAATGGATATCGCTACCGTCGTCTGGGATTGCAGCATCTCGCCGGCTGGCGGCTCAGGCCTAACACAAGCTCCAACGTCCTGGTCTCCTCGTCCAAGCCCATGACCTATCAAGTGCTGGACGCAGACGGCAAAGGGCGAAGAGAGCAAATTCCTTCCTGCCCGCGCGAAGACGGCATCAACACGGAGGCCTTTGGCGTGAGGATGGGCAAGTTCGAGCGGTGCTGTGGGCGGGTGACTTCGGATGAAGGAAAAGGGGCTGGCCGGCACAGAGGCAAGCAAATAGATCGTGAAAAGTATACGACGGCCACGTTTCTACATCGGCTGGGCAACTCAAAGCTCAATCTTTGCTTCCGGGGCGACGATGTGACGAGCAACCGGTTATTCGACGGGCTTTGGACGCGGACTCTCAACGTGCTCATCACCGAGACAGAGGAGATGTTCAAGACTGGGGTCCCGTTCCAATGTGAGATTCCATGGAGGTCAGTGGGTGGGTGAGTGGGTGAGGAAGGAGGACAGGAAGAAGGCAGGCACATGCACACTAATTGTGTGCCAATGCCTGCTGTGTATGAATGTTTTCGTGTAGGAATTTCACCTATGGGATCGACGGCTCTGACTTCGCTCGGTCCCCTCGCGACTCCCTCACTCCCTTACTGCGAGAGGTCTACGACGATCCTGCGGCGGTGAGGGAGAGGCTGCGACTCCAAGACTACTACAGCAGGAAGGCGCTCTGGAATGCGCCGGGCAGCACCACAGCCCGGAGCACCCTGCGGGCGGTGACGCGGCAGTGCCTCACCGACGAGATGAAGATCGACTTCATAAAGAGGACAGAGGGAAACGGTGAGTGAGTGAGAGTCAGTGAGACACACACAGCAAGAGACACGGACAGGTGGAAGTGCGTCTTCGATGTGTGTGTCTGTGTATGTGTGTGTCTGTCTTCGCAGGGAGGATGGGCGACCCTCGACGCCATCCGCTGTTCGCGCCGTGTGTCTTTCCGGACGATTTGGCGAAGCTGGAGGAGCAGAGGGCCTACGAGGCTTTCCATCAGTAGAGTGTGCGTGAGTTGTGTGATGTGACTAATGTGTATATGTAGGCAGTGTGCGTTGTATTCTGCAGATTTATTTGTCTTGTGTTCATGCGCTTCCTGACTTGGCTGTCCATGCATTGCAATGCGTCGATGGAAATGATGGGTGGATGCGATGCGATGCGTGGATGGAGGGAGGGAACGAATTTTGTTAGTGAGGGGACAAAGCACAGGGGAGTGGGCGGGTAGAAGCAGAGGAGTACGATGTATGCTCTGTCCTTAAGACGTGCAAAAACGATGCACACTTGTCCCTGTTTCACAAAATGTCCATATGAGATGAATGCATTGGAAACAAACGGACAATCTCTGCTTGCGTGTTCTTTGTTTACCAGCCGGCTGACAACCGTGTGCGGCAAGTGAGAGGATTGAGTAGTCGATTTCATTCCATCAGAGGTCCTCGCTCAAGATAACGTATTGGTCTGTCTGGATAAATAAATATATATGGCGGCATGCACATGGACACGCACACGGACATGCAGCGAGCAGTGTGTGGACGCACATGCATATGGTCGGACGCATGCAAGGCAGCCAATACGTACACACGCAGACACATACATAAAGGGGCAGACATACACAGACGTTGGTATGTATGTGTGTGTGTATGCAATGGAGCGAATGACAGACAAAAACGGCCGCATGGTACGAAAGGACCTAATTGAGGCACTGACTCACACGACAAGATGCCTGCGCTGTGTACGGCTTTGCTCGATACGCCACACAGAATAGAGACCCTCACCCTTCCCCACTCATATGACCATCCTTTCCCAATATCGATCCAACCACGACGAAGCACACACGCGAAAGCATTCCTCCACACGTCCATCGAACAGTCAGTGAGTCACTTGAACGGTCTGGCCACCCACTTGATGCAATCATCCACGGTGCCAGCGAACTCCACCTTGGCCTTGCAGTGCTCGCACGTGTACTCGGGCTCGTCCAGCAGCTTGACCAGCGAGATCTGCTCGTCCTGGCTGCGGGTCTCGTTCAGTCTCCTGGCGACCTCGTTCTCATCGCGACGGCGGTCGTTCTCCGCCTTGACTCGGCTGAGCTCCCGCTGCCAGGCGGCCTTGCGGTCCGCATAGCAGCGGGGACACACACGCATGTGTCTGCAGGGGACGTACATGATGGTCGCCTGGCCGTGCTCCCCAAAACACATGTCGCAGTCGTCATAATCCCCACCGTCATGATGCTGCTGCTGGTGCTGGTGGTGGTGCATTGTTGGGTTGGCTGATGTGGATAGTTGAGGGTGGGCGAATGAAGAGGAGGGGGGCGGGGGGGCCGACGAACTGCTGGACGAAGGTTGGTGCTGCTGGTGGTGGTGGGATGACTGCTGCGCGGCCATTTTGGCAATCCTGATGAGAGCAAGAGAGACAGATCGATGCAGACGAAGCCGAGGCCCCCCATTGCTTTCCTTACGTCCATTGCGCCTCTTGCAGCTGGCGTATTAGCGCCTCCTCATTCCGCTTGGCCTTCTGTTCCTTCTGTTTGGCCTCCTGCAACTCCCGAGCCCTTCGCTTGGCCTCTTCCTGAGTATGCTCGAGTTGGCGGCAGAGCTGATCGAAGAGCTCCTCACTCCCAGACGCATCGCCACCCATCACCGCACCAGACCTTCACACAAACACGCAGCGGCGAAGGAAAAGAGTGATACGTGCTGTCCGTTTCCTCTCTGCCTGCCTTTGTGTACCCTATGGATGTCCCGCCATTGCCGCCCTCCACCGTTCCGGCCGTCTGGGTCGCAGCGAAGGGGTCGGCTGCGCTGCTCGATGATGGTGGCTGGTACCCTTCCTCCTCATACTCAAATATGGGCGGCAGGGGCGGCACATACATGTCGTCATCATCACCACTGTCGTAGCCATAGAACGGGTCAGCCGACAAGCCACCACCACCAGAGCCACTGGCACCACCACCACCACCATTAGCAGCCGCAGCAGCTGGGGCTGGGCTAGACGGGAAGGGATGAGGGAAATTGAACGGATGTCGTGGGCCGCCATTGTAGCTGACAGGGAGAGGGGAGCCGATAGGATGGAAACCACTGCACAGCACAGCATTCAAGGAGAAGTTCATAGAAGCGTTGCTGACAGACAGACAGATAGACAGACATCATGCCCGTGTTACCTTTGATCGATCTGTGGGTATGGTGGGGGCGGCGGTGGAAGGGCCGGCGGGGGCGGCACACAGTACATTTCGTTGCCCTCACTGTCGTAGAACGGATCAGCCGACAGCCCCCCACCGCCATGACCGCCAGCAGCGGCAGCAGCAGCCGGTGGTGCGGGCCCGACAGGCGCATGAGCGAAGAAGGGACTCAGCGAAGGGCCAGCAGTAGACAGACTGTAGACACAGCAGGAGAGAAGACATCATTGCGATCACATCACGACATTCGTTGTCTGCGACCATCTCACCTCGGCCTCTCCTCACGTGCCGGCTGCTGTTGGTCGTCTTGTCCAGTGTGCTGCAGCGATGGCCTGGTGCGCAGCTCCTCAGCCGACGGGAGTCCTGGGCGGGGGATAGAGGGAAGCGGGGGCGGCTGGTGGGCAAACATCGTCATGAGGCCCCTCCCCGCCCCACGACCTCCCACCGGCCGACAAGGAGGCGACTCCGATCTGGACGGGCTTCCGTCATCGGATATCTCCTGAGGCCTCCTGGAGGGGCCCTTTGGCGAAGCGGGGATACCACGTGGCAGAGAGGGCTTGACAGGACCCTTGGAGGATGGACCACTCGAAGAGGAAATCGGGGCGGCGGGGACGGGCGCAGGTGGGTGGCTGGAGCTGCCCAGACGAGACGAATCGGACTGAACCGTGTTGGGGAACTGCGTCCGCATAGCTGCGTTGCCGTGGCGAGAATTGTCTTGGCCGACAGCCGCTCCTCTTGTGCTGACTGTGGGTGGATAGAAGGAGCGGGAGGGCTGGCTGGGACGACAAGCGGGCGTCGGGGTGGGCTTGGTGCTGTGTTTGGATTTGGTCTTCTTCTCGCTTTCAGCCTTCTTCTGTCGGGCATGTAGTCCGAATGCCGAGTTGAGCAGCATAGCGTCGCCGTCCTCATCATCGCTGTCGTCACTTTCATCAGCCGCCGACTCCGCCGCACCACCACCATAACCAGGCAGGTCGCTGCCCGCAGCGGCTGAGACGCTGCCCGCAGCGGCTGAGACGGACGGCACATCAAGCGCACCAGACCTGCAAAGAAAAGGATCGACACGCTCACAGAGGAAGCGAATCTGTCAGGGCATTTCGTCAACTGGGGGGATTGCTCACGTGTCGGCGATGGACGAAGAGGGTCCCGGCAGATCCGCTGCAACCTCGTCCGCAGCAGAAGCCCGACTACACCTAGACACACCACACACATGAGGTAAACAGTTCCTTCAGCCATGCACCATAGTGAGTGGATGGCTTCCCTACCTGGTGGATGCGGTAGTGGAGGGCACCGATGGCTCCATGATCGGATCAAAGGGGCTCGCCTCATCCCCACCTCCATGACCCTCCTGCTGCTGCTGCTGCTGTCTCTTGTTGGACTTGCCGCCCTTGTTGCCCTTTCCTTTGTTAGCCTTCTGGTCCTCTCTGGCCTTTGCCTCCTTCTCGCGTCGCTTCTCCGCGAGGAGAACGTCTTGCATCCGCTTCGCCTTGGCCTCCTGGGCCGCCAACTCGGCGGCTGAGATGGCTGTCTTGGGTTGGGCCTTGGTATCCTTGTGGTGCTGCTGGGCCAGGGCATCGAAGAAATCCGACACCTGTGGCAGAGAGATGTGAAGATGAGAGCCTCGTGCTGTGCAGGAGTGTTGCTCACCTGTTGTGAGACCCCGCTGGTGCGTTCACGCATCGCGTTGACCGACTCGAACTGACACGGCGGCACACAGACAGTCAGAAAGGCAAAGCACACACGACCCTCGGCGTAGCTACCTGCAGTATCTGTCCGACGATGGGGTTCGGTGCTCTTTTGGCGACCAGCGACTTGCCATAGCTGCCACACATGACACAGCGACAAACAGACACAGTCAATGATGCGTCGGACCTCCCTGTCTGCAGCTCATGGCTGACCTGACGATGCTCCTGAGAATGTCGACAGCCGTCTTGCGGTCAGTGTCGTGGAAGACGTCTGCGACACCGAGCTGTCTTTTGGCGTCCTTGAGGAGCATGTCACACATCGCCTGTGCGAGTCCATCGGTCCCCAACACCTACAGACACACAAACAAACGCACCACTACAGCTCTCTCGTCCAAATGAGATGGGATGGGAGGTCACCTTCCGATGCTTCTGACTGAGGGCATTCAAAGAGGTCATGCAGAAGGCCAACAGATTCGTTCCGATCCTCTCGGCCCTCTCAAAGAAGAGGGTCAGACAAGAGACGAATCTCGACTCGATCAGAAGGCCAGCGTCCCCACCATCTGCACACACACACACGCATGGTTGAAGAAGCCCGGGAGATGAGTCGCCTGTCTGACGGACGTACCTATCATGGCCATGGCTGGGGTGACCACAGCAGTCGTGATGCAATCTGCCAAGGAGCCCGTTGGATCCTTGTACACTCTGTAGTCCATGTACAACGCGGTGGCCACCCGATCAGGCAGTGAGGCATCCAGGACGAGGGCACGAAGCGGCTGCATCGGGGGCGGGGCAGCAGCGAGTGTTTTCATAATCCCGGCTTGCTCGATGTACTTGCCGAAGGCCTCTGACTGCAAAGGTCCACCTGCACACACAAATACATGTTTACCCCACAGGTATCAGTCTCCTTCACCTCCTACCTTTCTTCTTTCGGATGCAGAGGACGAGAGCGGCCTGGAAAAGAGCTCCAACTGTGGGGATTGCCACGAAGCCCAGGGAAGAGGAAGGATCGGACGCCGCGACGCGTTCCAGCAGCGTGTCCATTTGAGCGTAGACGTGAGTGTTGAGAGCCGCTTTGATGACTGGCCACTCCTCCACAATGCCTGCCAAAAGAAAGGACAGCAGCCTCGTCCAGAGAACGCATCCACCTGTACTTTTCTGACCTTCTCGAAGAGATTCCCACAGGTAGTCTGCAGCCCACATCAGTGGCAGTACTAAGAGCCTCGTCCTCGCTGATGGCTCATCTCGCAGCTGCTTCAGGCTCTCGACGAAAATGGAGAAGGACTCGAGCACGACCGAAGGGATGGGGCCGAAGAGGCTGGGCGTGAAGAGCACATGCAGCAAAGGGACGGCCTCGTCAGCCACTACTCGATGTCTGTACTCGCGGATAATCGCCAACACCTGCCGGAGGGTCGTCTAGTGCGTCTGAAGGAAGGCCACGCGGAGCTGTAGCCTTCGTGCCTCATCGAGTGTGACGGCCTCTTGCAGAGCGGCTGTGATCACGCAGAGTCTCATATACGTGACTTCGTCCGCTGTCGAGGGGACAGGCTCGCCGCCTGACGATGCCGCGATGATAGCAGACGCGACGAAGCTGTCGACCTCCGCGCCCAGGTCGCCTCCCACTCCTCCCTCCGAGGACAGATCCTCCCTCGTCCACGTCACGATATCGAAGATGTCCTGGACGGCCGACACACGATCAGAAGGGCCCATCTCAGACAAAAAGGTACTGCGGACGAGGCAATACAGCACGTTAGCGGCCGCCAGCTGACATTTCTCGTTTCCGCTATCCACCAGGCGCATCAAGAGGCGACGGAAAAGCTCCTTCTCTTTTCCGAACCGCACGGCCAGCCGCTTGACGAATGCACTCGTCACACGGTCAGCGATGGCTTTGGCTGCCGAGGTGAACGTTTCGATATCGTCAGATAGCAGGCCGTCCACCAGCGCATCGGTGTCGACGGGTGATGAGGGCTGCGGCGAGGGGGAGCAGGGCGGCGAAGGAGGCCCTGACGCCGAATGGATGTGCGCGGTTGTCTTGTGCTTGGCTGGGCGGTGCGATCGGTCCGGTGCGGCTGAGCTGCTGCACACTTTGACCGTCTTTGGGAGCGACTGGATGAATGACGTCACCTGAACAAAAAGGCCGGAGGGAATCAGAGAGGCATCTGTGCATCCATCGACTCATCTTGTTCGGTCGTGTGGTTTCGTTGGCTGCGTCGCTCACCTCTGTCGGCAGGTCGCGACGGCGTCTCAGCTGCTGTATCGCCTCGCACTGGCAACAAACCACACAGGTAGACACGGACACGTCGCGATCGTCCTCATCGGTGCTCACCTGAACGATTTGGTCGACGAATGGGTTGCTGGTCGCCTTGCCCTCAGTGACCAACTCATCACCAACACTACAGGACGGTCCACGACATTCACATACATGCAGCATTTGGCAGCCACCAATGCACCCTGCCGCTCTCCCGCTCACTTGATCATCTGCTGCAGAAGCTTTACGATAGCGACGACGAGTAATCGCTGGCCGGCATCAGCTGTGTGTGCAGCCACAGTTTCGGCCAATAGCTGGCAGACAGCTTCTACCAGTCGATGGCCTGCGTCGATGTCGCCCGATTCTGTGCAGGGAAACACAGCGCACTCCCAAGTCTATCTCACATGCCAGTTTGTGTCCCGTCCTGCGCCTCTCTTCCTCTCATCCTGCCTGACCTGTAACTGATCCTGCCGGTATCTCCAAGCAGAAGAGCATTGTGGCAACATTCATCTTACCCCCCATGATTGAGTTGGTGATTTCTCGGCTGTTTCTCCTCCTTTTCGGATGAGCGAGCGTGTATCGGACTACACCCAACCCCCTCCACCTACCCTCATCCCGCGAGACGGCGGCGGGCCCCCCTGTTGC